AGCTCTCATCCTTCCCCTAAGACACAATTGCCACTCGTGTGAAGAATGAAGAATGAAGATTGGCGGCTTCTGCGGGGATTCTGTGGTCGCATCTTCTCTATCTGAGAAACCTCTCTATGTTTGTAAACAGGAAGTCACGTTGTTCTCTCCCTGGTCCACAAAATCAACCAGAAGGCAGAGCTGAAGCCCCTTCTCAGTCCTGTGGGGTCTTGGAAGGCCAGAACTGGAGGGCCTTGCGCGAGCCCTGAGGGTTTGCCAGGAACCATCTAGACAGCTCCCTATCCCGCATGACAAAGCAAGTCACCTTTTGTTTTTATGAACTGAATTCTGGCGGCAGTTGCCTGGATAGCCTGCTGGTGAGAACCCAGGGTTGAACCCACAATGGTGGGAGACAGGACAGGGCTCCAGGTCGCGGGGAGCACGCCAGTGCCTGAAACAAAGGCTACAACGGTCCTTTCCACAGGCTGGTGATGTCTATTCTTCCAAACAGCACAAAACTCTCAGGGGGCATTGTGAGGTGGGGGTGTGGTTCACAAGTAGCTCTTCTGCTGGACCCCAGGTCCTCAAGGGGTCCAGTACATTCCACCCTGGTCCTCCGGGTGACTCCCCGCCATACACACACACAGTGGAGTGGCTGCCAGGCCATGCTGCACCTGAGGTGAAGAGGTGGGGTCAACCTGGAGAGAAGCCCCTATTGCTGGTCCAGCCAGGAGCATTTGTGCAGTGTGCCGACCCTGCAACTGTGCCCTGGCTGTAGCCATCTGAGGACAGTGCTTGAGCTAGGAGGAAACTAAATCACAATGCTTCCCTCACTGTGGTCGCAGGCTCCATTGGCACCAGAGCCTCCCACCCCCAGCAGCTTATTGGCACCAGAGCCTCCCACCCCCAGCAGCTTGCCTGACTTCGTCCTCCTACTCCAGTCATTCAATTTGGAGAGTTCCGCTGGGCCCATCCCATCTTGGCATCTCTGCAAGACGGTCAGAACTGTCTCCTTGCTCTGGGGGCCCAGACCTTCTGCAGATCCGTACCAAGGCCACTGCCACGGTGGAGACGGAGGAGGAGAAAGAAGCATCCTCCCCACCCTGAGCCACAGCTCTTTGGTCTCCCAAAACCCCCAGACAGGACTGCGGCCCAGTTGGAGGTATGGACGTGAGACTTGAAAAATGGAAATGGCTTTTCACTGGATCACGTAGACAGTCAGGGACACAGGCCCCTGAGCCACGTTCTCTCTGCTCCTCCCACTTTCTGGGAGCAAAGAGAAGGCTAGAATGCACATTTCAAAGACGGGACTTCGGTTTGACATTTGAGTCCTAAGAGTGCAGTCTTCAGAGTCCGAGGGGCTTTGAGCAATTACGCTGCCAAGATTTCCCACCAGATACAGACTCTCTGCGATCTGATGGCGGCAACAGACAGCTTCTCACGCCCCAGTTGGTCTTCTTATGTAAATGACTTGCCAGGGTGCCCAGCCACTGGTGTTTCTTAACAAAGGAAATTCTAGGTGCCTGGCTAGACCCATCCCGCCCATTTTACAGATGAAAAAATGGACTAGTGGAAAGGCACAAGCCTGCCAGATTTGGAAAAATGCCAGAGGGCCTGCGCTTCCAGCTCTCCGGGCTGTACCCACGGAGGGCAACTTCTCTGTCTACAAACTGAGAGTAGCCCCCACTCCTCGAGGGCTGGCAGGACCTTCTACAGCACCTGGCCCGGAGGGAGCGCTCTCCCATTCTCTTCTGTTTGAAGACGCCTTCCTCTATGCTCATGAGAATCCCCCCATTTCCAGGAGCAGAAATTCCACCCTGCTCTCCTTGGCCTCACTCCTGGGAATCATCAAAACAAGATCTTGTCCAAACTGTAGATATGGTTAACATCACTGGCTCCCTAAGAAGCAGGAACATCTGGGCAGCTGCCCCAGTTGGGCAGCATTCCATAGATCTAAGCCTCACAACAAACTAGATGGCACCGACCATTTAAGTCTTAGAAGCACCCTAGGAAGCAGACACCAGGAACACAACCCCCACCGGCCCAGCATTTTAATCCTTCTAAAATGGAACTGCATCTTCCAACAAATGGGCAGGGAGTATCTTTCTTAACAGAGTTTAAAACTGATTCCCTCCCCGTTCATGCCATTTCAGATTTGACGAAATAATCCAGCATCCCCTTGTATAGCGGAGAAGCTGCAGGCATGTGAGATTAAACCATGCCTCAGTGCACACAGCGACCACAGGCAAGAACAGGGCTTTAAACTCAGCCTCCATGATGACCCCAACCACCCTATCTCCTGGGGTTCACACCCATGGACTCCCCCACCCTTGAGTGCAGGCTGAATCACCTTGAAGAATAGGGCAAAAGTGATGGGAGTCACTTCTAAGGCTGAGTTCCTAAAAGAGGGTGGCTTCTGCCTACCCGCCATCTTTCACTTGCTGGCTCCGAAGGAAGCCCCTCGGCCATGTGCCAATAGCCAGTAACCAACAAGAAACTGAGTCCTTGGGTCCAGCGATCCCCAAGGACCCATGTCCTGCCCACACCAAGCTTGGAAGTGGACCCCAGTCAACCCTGAGGTGACTGCAAGCCCTGATGGAAGCCTGCAAGGGACCCCAAGCCACAGGTCCCAGCTAAGCCAGGTCAGGCTCCCTGAACCCAGGAACAGCAAGGTCAAAGGGAGTGTTGCTTTGTCACTAAGTTTTTGGGTCTTTGTTACACAGTTATAAACAACGACCAGTCTCCCATATTTAAGCCAGAGTATTTGCTGCGTCATGTCCTAGATGATAAAGACATTGTCCCAGCCATCAAGGGACACCCAGTGGGTGGGGAAAGTCCACGAGTGCAATTGCTCCTGCTCCTGATGTGGGCACTGAGTGAGGGACTGGTCCCCTAACCCAGGCAGAAGGACCAGGGGAGGTTTCCAGGGGGAGGTGCCCTGAGCGGGGTCAGGTAAGGTAAGAACTCGCCGGGTGAAGAAGGCAGGAAGGCAACGTGGAGGATGGCAGAGGACACATGTTTCTCCTCGTCCTCCTCCATGGACTTGAGAAATTTCGAGAAGACATGCTTAGCCCGAGGGTATTTGACAGCTATAGGCTTGTGGCAAGAGAGTGAGTCACCCCAGTCATCTCAGAAGTGTGAGTCAGCAGGCTGGTCTGGGGCTTGGACTCCGGGGAGAGTGGGGATTTGAGCTGACTGTGCTGGGGGTGAGGGTGTTGAAGATTGTGTAATGGTTTTGTTGCTTTTTAACCAGGATCAGGGGTGTGGCCTGTATATTGGCTGTTAGGAGTGTGGGCAGGGTTAGAGTAAAGAGGCCTGGGTGTGATCTCCATCAGCCTCCGGACAGGCCCGGCCAGAGGGCAGACAGGCCTCTGCTCCGTGCTCCTCACCCTGGCGGACCGGGCTCCACTTGTTGGGAGCTGAGCCCGGAAGTAGTAAAGACCCTTTCTCCAAGGAAGGCCTAGCAACTCCCGGAGAGAAGAAAGCGAAGCCAGGCCTGGGGGAGCAGTGTAGGGTGAGCCAACAGTTGGGGCCAGCACTTCTTGACCCCAGCCTGGGTGCCCTGCACCATAGCCCTCAGAGCGGGCAGGCACCTGGCTTCCGGTCCACCTCTCACCTCTGCTACCCGCAGGGCGCCTGGTGGCTGAAGCACAGGCTTTAAAAAGTCTGTCTGGGTGCAGTCAGCTCTGCCACTTACTGGGCACGCCCTCCAGCCCGGTGCTTCATGTCTCGGGGCTTCAGTTTCCTGGTCTATAAAATGGGAAAAGCAACGTCCACCTTCCAGGACTAGTATGTGATATTTTGTTTGTTTTTACATGTAACATAAGTGGGTTATTCACAGTGGCGGCCATCCCCGAGGGCCAGGGTCGGCCCAGACACCATCCAGAACCCAGTGCTGAGCACGGTGCGAGCCTCTTGCTCTGACTCGACAAGGTGAGCGTGGCACCCTCGCCTGCCTCCAGAACCCTCCAGGGCTTCAGACCAACAGCAGAGTGGACAAGGGGCCTGCGGTCCCTTTCAGTCCTCAAATTCTAGGGTCTGGCCCAGCCCAAGGAACTTTCTCTTTCCCCAGTCTTGAAAGAAAGGGCTGCTGCCAGCCATCTGGCTTTCGTCATGGATGACTTTCGTGTATGATTCATCACGTTTGATTTTCATAACAACCCATTTCACAGATGAGGAGACTGACCAGCGGGTCTTGCCCAAGACAATGAATGCCACCCGCTCCATCTCACCCAGGGCTTGGGAGGCACGAGCTCATTTAATTGTCCCCACTCCCTAGCTATTCATCCCTGTTAGGACCCAGGAGATAGGTCGAGGGCCCCAGGACCACCGCTGCGGCGACTTCTGCAGGAGCAGCTGGGCCTCAGCGCCGAGCTCTTCATCAACTTCTGTGCTGGCAAATAAGGCGCAGGGTTGGGCCTGGAAAAAGTCCCAGTCTTGTTGAAAACTTGCAATTGTAGCGAAGTGTACACAAACAGAACATTTGCCATCCTAGCCAAGCTCACGTGCATGATTCAGGAGTGCACCCCACATTCACAGCAGGACCCGGACTCCAGACCTTCTGCATTTTGCAAGCTCCCAGCATCACAACAGTCGCCACTCCCCCGCCCCAGGCCCCTGGCAATCACCCCTCAGCTTTCTGTCTCTGAATGACTCTGTCCTGTTTCTTAAAAGTCTGTCTCTGTCCTACTGTTGGGCCATCTGCCCTCGATGTCACAGGACAAGCAGGGACAGGCAGGGCTGCGGGGGTCAAGGGAGGCTGTGGACTTCAGGGCTGGGGTGATCCGAGAAGGCTGCCTGGAGAAGGAGGAAGGGGCAAAGGAAAGGCCTAGAAGATGGGCAGCAGTGGTGAGAGTGACGCAGGGATGCTCAGCCTGCCCTTTGGTTTATGGCAGCCACCTCAGCAATGCCAACCTTTGCCCCCCCAAGTGAGTTCCGGTCAGATGGGTGGAGGCTCCAGGCCTTCTCAGAGGGCCACTGGCTTGCGGAGGGGCTGGGGCAGCCCAGCAGACTCCTGAACCATGGGGACCGGGCCGCGCAGCCAGTCCTTGCGAGGGCCACGGCCCTCCTACGGCAAGCTCCAGGAGCCCTGGGCGAGGCCCCCCGAGGGTCGGCTGCGCCGGTCACTGAGCCTCAGACAAGAGAAGTCCAAGTCCCCAGATGCAGCCCCAGACGGGCCAGACGCCCCTGGTCAGGAGAAACTGAGAGACACGGAACAGCTGATCCGAGCTCAGCGAGGAGGCAGCCGGAGGTGGCTGAAGCAGTACCGACAGGTTTGATGCAGGGTGGCCGGTGGGGGAGGGCCGCGGGGTGGGGGTGGGGCCACCAAGGGAAAACAAGCTAGAAGCCCGTCTGTTGGCAGGCTGGAGGGAGAGTGGTCCTTGCGCCAGAGCCCTGAGTCACTTGGGGTGTATGCCTTGTGCACTGGGGCGTCATGGGAGGTTTCAGAGAAGATGGTGATCTGGTCAGAGGGTCTCAGGGGACCCTCTGGCTGTGTGTCGATGAATGGATGTTGCTGGAGGGAGAAGATCAGCCTGCACAACCTCTCCAGGCTCACATCTTGAGCTCCCCTCCCCCAGAAAGGGATGAGCCGGCCTGATGGGGGGGCCTGGCCTCCAGCCTCCTCCCAGGGAGCCTGGGTGGCTCAGAGCAGAGCTTCTGCCTCTGGAGTCTACCACCACCGCGTGGCTGTAGGTGGAACAACACCCCCAGCCGTGGGTCCAGCTCCCCTCCACCCTGTCTTCCCGCAGGTAAGGAGAAGGTGGGAGAGCTTTGTCGCCAGCCTCCCCAGCGTGACCCTGAGTAGGCCGGCCTCCCCGGAGGAGCCCCCTCTGGCCACCACCTGCTAGAGATGCTGGAAGCCGCAGCAGGCCTGCTACACCTGGACTGACGCTTACCTTGCCTCTTCATGGCCCTCCGGACTGTGGGGGCAGGACTGCTCCCTCCTTCCTTATGGGACCTGCCTAGGCCTCTGCCCCAGATCACTCAAGGCCCTGTGGGTGCCCCCTCTGCTGTGGCCTCCACTGCAAGCCCCCCAGGGCTGAGAAGAAGGGGCTCAGTTCTGTCTTTTGTGTGGGTGGCATCCATAGGGTCTTTGAAACCTGCCCCAGAGTGGGGAGTGTTGATGTCCCTGACCCCGCACAAGAGCAGTCATACACCTCCAGGATGGAGCTTGGTGAAGCCAGACCCGTGGATGAGAGGCTCCCCCACATCACACATGGCCTGGCGCCGGCCCTGCTGCCCGCCCTTCTCCCCGCTGCTAGTGGGTGTGAGTCCCCCCGGGGCAAGGACCGCCTCTGCATGCCCCCCTCGCCCCCTCGTGGCCTCTGTGGCTGATGGCCCAGGCCCCTATGTTATTGCTTCAGTACTCACAACACCCCATGAAGGAAATGGGGAGCCTTCTCTTCCTGGGTGGCAGGAGAAACTGAGGACTATTGATTCAGCAACATGGGGCTGGGCCACAAGAATAAAGGTCGCTGAGATGAACTAATCAACTTGCCTAGTGACTAACTCGCCCCGGGTGTCCGCCCACCCCATGGAGGCAGGCTGGGCTGGGAGCCTCTCAGAATGGTGGGGTGGAGCCAGGGACAAGTCCCCCAAGAGAAGCCAGGAGGCTGGGTCTTTCCTGCCACTTCTCTTAGCCATAGAGCAGTGGCCACCTGCCAGCGCCTATGCCTGTGCTGACCTCAAACCAGTTTCAGGGGACCTGGCTCTCGCTGGTCCCACGCCTCTGTCCTCACCCCAGGAAGCAGGCCTCAGAGAGGGCCAAGGGCTCACCCAGGGCCACACAGGGGTACAGGCTCTGACCCCACGAAGCCTGAGCTCTTCGAGCGCCACAGAAAGACACCTTTGCCCAGCCAAGCATGGATCCTTGCAAGGACGGGGCCTGCCTGTCCTCTCCATGCCCTGGGACCGCAGAGGCCAGAGCCCAGGAAGTGTGGCACCCCCGCTGCCCGTCTGAGCTTCATTCTCTCCCCTGCTCAGCATCCTGACCACACCCACTTCTCTGCACAGGGTTCAGAGCAGCCAGCTCTGACCTTTCCACGTGACCTCTGTCCCGATGAGCTCACAGTTCTGCTGCAGAGGGAGAGGGACAGACAGACAGAGGGCTGACTGCTCCGCTATGGAGCAGACGGGAGTAAATGCTCAGCGGGCAATGTGGGGAGGCAGATGAAAGGGGCGGCTGGTTCTGGGGGTTGCCCTGGCCGTGGCAGGCAATCTTCCCTGCAGCCAGTGCTGAGTTTGAATGCTTGCTCCACCGCTTACTAGCTGGGCGACTCTGGGCAAGTCGCTTAGCCTCTCTGTGCCTTGGTTCCAATAAACATAGAGCGGTCCCAAGGAGAGGCGTGTAAAACCCCAGAGCAGCCAGCCCCTCAGTGCTTAGTAGCCAGCTGCAAAGTATTCTTCCATGTGATTCTGGCGTTGCCCTCCTCTGGGGAGGGGGGATGCTAATAATAGTCCCTGAATGGGGGCGTCTTGGAGCACAAGATGGGCCCAGGCACACGTGCGCTGAATTCTGGGCCAGCCCACGGGAGCACCCGTTCATGAGCGCCTGGGGAAGCCTGGCACTCGGAGCCTGGCGTGTCCTCAGCTCACCTCGGCTGGGCTGGGCCTTGGCAGGGCCTCGGGCATCCGGATCCAGGGAAGTGGGTACAACCGCAGGCCAGACAGCCACCCTGGCGGTGGCCTCTGCTTTAGTGCCATTGCGGGAATGGGTGTGGGAAGAAGCCTCGCCCCCGCTCCCTGCTGACCCCCCCTTGCAGGCCCCCCCACAGCAGGCCCAGGCTCCCTTCTCTGAGCCCCAGGCACTTGCAGTCAATTCAGGCATCTCCTAGCAAGTGCGCTCAGAGCCCTGGCCGGTGAGGATTACAGAGAGGGGGACAGTCAGGGCGCCCAAAGTGTCCCTGGAGGGAAGCCACATAGATGAACCAGCACTCCGGGGGCTGATGAGGGGTGGGGGGCAGATGTGGCCAGAGAAGGCCAGCTCAGTTCTTGGAGGCTGGGCCTAGAGATGCTTCCTGAGGGGCAGACAGCAGAGTCCTGTGGTTCGCCCCAGGAGCTCCTTAGAGGGGAGAGCAGAGGCCGAGCTGCAAAGGCGTGGGAAGCGACACAGCTGGAATCTTCATGACTTGGCTTTGCTGGGAAGGTGGGAGTCAGGGAGGCGAGGGCAGACAGGTAGACTGGACAGGGCTCAGCTGTCTTCCCCCGGCAGCAGGTTGGGGGGCGGGGAGTGGGCGTCATGGTTTTGGCCAGAGGAGGGAAAGGGGTAGCTGAGAAAGATTCCCGGGACCACCCCAGGCCCCCGCTCAGGGAGTGCTGTGTGCCCATTTTACAGATGAGGCCCAAGGCCCTGAGAAAGAGGGGCCCGAGGCGAGACCCGCCGCCCCGGCATCCCGCCGAGTGGAGCCCGGGCGACGCAGCCGTGAGCCGTGGAGCAGACCAACCGAATCCCTCAGCAGCTACCGCGGGGGGCGATGGGCCAGCGGCCCAGGGGGGCTGGGAGAGGCTTTGGGGATAAAGGAGAAAGAAGTCGCCCTCACCTTCCACAGCAGAGGACCGCAGAGGAGGTCTCGCTTCAAAAAGCAAGCCCGGGCAATGCAAGCGTGTTATCCAGACACACAGAGGCGAACCCCAGAGGGGACACCCAAGGCTGAAGTTGGCAGCTGGGGCTGCCCTGGGGACGGGCTGGGATAAATGGAAGGTGCTGGTTTTCCTCACACGCATAGACCATGTGCCTCTGAAAGCTAAGTAGCTATGTTGCTTGGAGAAAAACAAAAATGAAACGAAAACATAGATTTATAAATTATTTATCAGGGTATGACCTCATCGCTGCAAGGATTAGATGTTTCGGAACTACGTCTTTTAAAGGTCATTTCAGAAAACAACACAGGATAATTGGTAAAACTGGAATATGATCCAGAGATTAGATAATGGCGCTGTCACTGTTATAATTCGCTTCCGGAATTTAATGGTGTGATGCAATAAGAAATACAGATTTGGTTTCTGCCCCTAATTCCTGGCACAGAGCTTCTGAAACCTTTGGAATTTCCTGAGTGTTTGGGGTGGTAGAACGTTTGTATTACTTATAATAACCCATCTCAGCCACACCCCTTGGAGGACAAGGGCAGGGCAGCAGAGGAACCAACCTGGGGTTACAGGTTTCTAATCCCAGTTCTAGAACTTTTTTTTTTTTAAGATTTATTTATTTATACAAGAACTGGGGAACAGGCCCGATGCACGGGAGGGTGAGAGGATTCACCAGAGATAGAGCAGGGGGTGGGCCTCCCCTGGTGGCGCAGCGGTTGAGCGCTGGGCTGCCTGCAGCCTCTGCAGCGCCGGTTCGATCCCCGGCCACCGGCGAGGATCCCACATGGCACGCAGACCTCTCCTGGTGTGCCCGCTGCTCCCCTCAGCAGTGTATTTTGTCAGTCTGCCTGTTCTGCTCCCTGCTCTGTCTCTGGTGAATCCTCTCACCTTCCTGCGCATCTGGCCAGTACCCTGGTTTCTTGTGTAAAATAAATAAATAAATAAATAAATATCCTAAGCTAAGGGGTTCACATAGCTTCCAGGTTGGTGAAGCTGACACTACCCCTTTCCTGACGGCCTCACAAGCACTGGTGTATTTGGAAATCTGTAGGCGGCATTTGTTTGCTGACAAGTCTGGGTCCCTCCCCCTGGGGTGCTAGAAGCCACAGCGGCCAAAGGATACAAACTGGGAGAAGGTTAGGAGTGCGCAGTTTGGGTCCAGCTGGGGCCAGAAAAGGGCACGGCGGGTCACAAGCAGCCACAGACTTGCTGGGGTCAGTTTGTGGGAGAGACAGAGCCACCAACTTGCTGGGTGGACTCAAACAAGTGTCCTTCTCTGGACCTGCTTCCTGCATCTAAACAGTTACATCCAGGGCCTGGCACACCCTGGTGTGAGCCCCACTATGAAGTCTGCCTCTTGCTAGCGCTGGTGTAGCTCATGGCAGGCAGTCTGCTTTCTCGCCTAAGAAATGGGCTAAGTTCTGGGGCATCAGCGGGCTTAAGGGTGAGCCCCCTTGTGGGGACAGGGTGGGGTAGGGGACAGAGAAGGGTGTGGGGACCAGGAACCGCAGTAAAACCTGCGAAGCAAGGCTCTGTCCTGGGAGAAGAGAAAGGATGGGGACAGAAAGCCACCTGAGACTCTCCCTCTGTTCATGAAATTCTATGGGCCGGCCAACAGCACTGACTCAAATAAAACAGCATAAACAAAACAGAAAAGAGCAACAGAATAGAAAATGTCAGAGGGTCTAGCTTTAAGTGTGATTTTATGAAACTACAAGATTATTAAGTGTTGCCCTGGGTTTCAGTCAGTCCAGGTCAGAAGTGTAATAAAAACCTCAAGTTCTCCTCAAAGACTACCAAGTCTCAGGGCACGTGGAAAACGCCCCACGCCAGTACTAGGGATTTTGCTGCCACTGAGCAGAACTGCCAGCTAGGAAGTTCAGGTCAGTTGTATAAAAAATGCAAACCAACGTTTGGTTCAAATCTTGAGCTAGGAGCATTTTTAAATTTTTGGTATCATGAGGATATAACTGTATGGCCTCTGTAATTAAAAAAAAATAAACAAACCTATTTCTTAAGAACTCGAACAACTGTAAACAAAAAGTACATGTTGTGAGGTTATCTGGGATCTTTGGCTGCTTTCATTTTTAAAAGTTACATAGTTAAGAATACAAAAGAACATTTTCTTTGGCCGAGAAGTTCAGCCATGTGGAAATATGAAATGCAGCCATTTACAGCAAGGTGGAGGGAGTTTGAGGGAGCTGGGTCAAGTCAAACAAGTGAGAACGACAAAGACAAAGACTGGAGACAGTCCTCTCTGCAC